GATTAACACTGGCATGAATATTTCCAAAAGTGTGATAAAAAAAATTAATGAAAATAGAAATGTATATCATTAACTTATATTATATTATATTATATTACATTACATGTAAGAAGTATATCCAACCAAAGACCTCAACTTTGTGATTATTTTCTAGATTCTTTCATGAAATTAGTATAGAAATTAAGAGATTATAGAATAATCCAATGTATTATATTTAGATTTATTTCCTATATTAGCTTAGCATAATATGAGAATTTGTAAATAAGAAAGGGATGCCATTTTTTTTCTTGATTTATGGATATTGGTAATGGTATAAATATGTTTAGTGAATTTAGTAATATAAAATTATATCTATGTACATGTATGGGTATATAAGATTATATTCTTATGGAATAAATAAAGGTTTTATTGTTGAATGATATGCCCGAAGCAACCTTAATTGTGAAAAATGATAGAGATTTTGATATTTCTTTTATACAAGGAGTTTAACAAAACAAGTTATTAGATAAGAGTTCTATATAAAAGAAATTTTGCAAAAATTTTGTTGAAATAAGAATAAACTAAATTAGGTTAAATGTTACATGAAGGTAGGAAAATAATTCATGAGTATTATAAATGTTGATGGTTAGTAAAAAAATATTACCTTAATTTCTTTGAATATAAGGCTTCAAGTATTGTTCGACGTTATATTAAATTGTAGGTGTTACAAGGAAAGAGAAAAAAATATTCTATCATGCATCTCTAAAATTAAAACACATCGCACATCAAGACAAACTTGCCAAGACATTAAAACAGGTGGCATTTAGAGACACCAAAAAAGATGATGGTTTGACATAGGAGAAAGCTGCACACCTAGCTAGAGATCTTTTTGTTTTTGATCATTTACCATAATTCTTTTTAAAAACATTTGGTCCCTTAAACCTTAATTATTTTAAACTAATACAATTGAATGCTAAACATCAATTGCTTATTATAATTTTTTCTTGACACCACATGATCCCCTTTTCTTAAAAAAAAATTGTTAAGTGAATCCCAAATAAAAATAAACTTGAAAGGATTAAATTAAAAACAAAAGAAATTAAGTGAAAAAAAATTGAGGCCGATCATTTACCTAACTATACAATTCAGTCCCTGATTATTTAAAGAAAAAAAGAGTTAAATATTTGCATATTGTTCAAATATGGTTCCAAAATCTCTAATTGTTTCAAATCAATAAGATTTCATTTAATTGGTCTAAACTAAATATCAACCAAGTAATATTTTTTATTACTCGAGATCTCATAACTAGGCATTCAAAACATATAGCTAAATTAAATTTCAAATAAATACAATTTTAAATGAACAAATTAAAATAAAGATTAAAATAAAGAAAGCCAAAGTATCAAAACTAAAAATTAAAAAACAAATACCATGAAATACTATTGTAATATGCAGTAACATAGATGTGTTGAATGTTACTTTCCAATAAGTAATATGAATGTGATTTGAATAGTAATTTCCATAATGATTTACAATAACATGGGTTTAGGTCAACAAAACTTTTCCCCACACTTATTTTTATATATGTAATAATATGTAATATTAAAAAATTTACATAAGTGGCTTGTACTTAACCAAGTTAAATTTTTTTAATTAAAAAATAATATAAATATCTATTAATACATTTTAAAAAATTAAAAAATTTATAATTAGGATCATAGACTCTAATGTGTTTAATAAGATAATTTTATTTAATTATATAATTAAAAAATAATGATAATAAATTAACTGAATTTAACAAGAAAAAATAAGCATTATAATTTGAAAAAGAGAACGTTTATGAAAAAATAAAAAAATTAAATTTTAAAATAATTTAATGATAAAGTATAAAATTTATAAAAATAAATAAGAAATAATAAATAAATTGAGTAACCAAAGTAATATATATATATATATATATGTGTGTGTGTGTGTGTGTGTGTGTGTGTGAAATGCACAATAAACTCTCACACAGCAGCATAGTGAAACACTGCCCTTTAGTTTTTTTCTTATATAATTTGAATTTAATTTAATTTTAATATAATAATACAATATAACTTCCTGCTACCCCCACTGTAAAATAGAGGAAGAAGCACCCAAACACAGAAATGGCAATATCAACTCTCAACAGACTCTCCTCTCAATTCAACCGCCTCCCTTCTCTCTCTCCGTTCACCAGATCTCTTCTCACCCGCTCCTCCGCCAAAGTCGCTGACAGAATCGTGAAGCTCTCTGCGATCGACCCAGACGGTCAGAAACGAGAGATCGTAGGTCTCTCGGGCCAAACTCTTCTCAAAGCTCTAACAAACAACGGCCTAATCGACCCAGCTTCGCACCGCTTGGAGGAGATCGACGCTTGCTCCGCCGAGTGCGAGGTCAACATCGCGCAGGAATGGCTTGAAAGGCTGCCCCCGAGATCTTATGACGAGGAGTATGTGTTGAAGAGGAATTCGAGAGCTAGGGTTTTGAACAAGCATTCAAGGTTGAGTTGTCAGGTTGTGCTTACTCAGGATCTCCAAGGTATGGTCGTTGCTGTCCCTGAGCCTAAGCCTTGGGATATTCCGTAATTTGAATGTGCTATCTTTGTTTGGGATTAAATTTTGAATAATGTGCACATTTGAAATGTTTTCTTGTTTTGATTCTGTTGGGTGACTGTAAGAATTTCCTTCAATTGGGCTTCCTATGAATTTATTTCTTTGAAGTTTTTATATGCAGTTTGATATTTATTGAAGGTGTTGATGAGCATTTTTGGTTGGCTTTACAAATTACGAAGTTAGTGACCTTTGATTAGAGAAAGAAACAATTAGGAAAACTTAGGATCACTTGTCATCAGTTGTATAAATCGGTTCAACTTTGTTCGATAAGGATGTTACTCGGGAGTAGATTTCTTGAAGCAATTGGGGAATCATGTTTACTTTATTTGAACCTTGGAATAACATTTTGTTTTAGAAATGCCATGTATGAAACTCTGGCAATGACTATCTAATCAGTTTCCATTTTTTACGGTTGCAGAGGTGGAGACTCTTTGAGGGGTTTATATATATATAAAGGGAAAAAAAAAAGAAAAAAAAAGAAGAGCAACTTGATTGAAATTCTTCCTTTGGAGTGAAACATTTCCCTTTAGTGATGGGTTATGAGCTGTTGTTAGAATAGTCAGCAAATGAAGGTGAGTGTGATTATAGAGAGTATCATTGAGAAAAAAATGCTCCAGATGAGTCAAATGACTGAACTTTGTAGAGAGAAACCAATATATATATTATTTTTAAGGCCTGATTGCTGCTTCTAAAGCTTGCCACCATTATCATCTTAGCATTAAAGTTTAGAATTTTGTATGATTTTATCCATTGAAAGGGTTATGACTTTACTTGAGATTCCATGTGGTATTTTGAGATTAATTGTGAAGTTCAAGATTCAGAAGTAGTTTGAGATATTGTAACTCTTAGTTTAGCATTAGAAAATTTGTGTTGTGTGCGCTACTTTGAAGATCAACATTCAGTTTTTATGCTACGGTCTGTGCTGCCGAAGAAGTCCTGGGCAACATGGAGTTGTAAATCCTTGAAATCCTACCTCAAATAACTATAAGCAAGCCCGTGCTGGGGTTCCACTTTGAGAGATCTCTGCATGGGTTTAATCATGAGCATATTTCGTGCTGCAATTGAGGGGTAAAAGGAAATTTGAAAATTGTGGGGATTATCTCCTCATTAGGGCTTACCTTGGGTGCACACCTGAGTCATTCAAAACAATCCTGTCCAGGGAGTTTTTGTTTTCGTTGCTTGTGCTGTTGCTGGTTCCTGGGTTCCCTGTATTTTTAAGTTTGTGAATATACAACGTGAAATGAGCATGAGGAATATCCCAGTTGTCACTTCTCTGTATAGTTGTGATATTATGACATTCAAGTTTATGGCAGTACAAAATGGAGGAACTTGTGGGTTGATTTTGGGCAGGTCAATCAATCTGTGAGAATCGGTTTGGGAATGTCCAAGAACTTCTATTGAAATCACATCCTTAATTAATCTTTTGAGAAATGAAAGTATAAGACGTCCTTGATGCCTTCTGGCCTCAAAATTGGTTGATGAGAATCTCTTAGAACACCTGTAGAGAGTATAGCCTTATGCACTCCCCTCTTCATCAGTCTCACCCTTTTTTGTTTACTTCATCCAAAAAAGGGAGATTATTAAGACTGTTCTAGACGTGAATAGAAAGAGTGTCCTCTTGTGTTCATCTATGTGAGTTAGAGGTGAAGAAAAGTGTTGGTCAATCTCATTTCCTAACGTTGTGGCCATTCATCCATCCATCCACTGGCCAGTACGGGGCTGAATAGAGAACTGCCCCACCCTTTTTTTTTTTTACCATCCATCCACTGGCCAGTACGGGGCTGACTAGTTAGAGAACTGCCCCATCCTTCTTCTTTTTTCCTCCCACTGAAGTGCATGTAAATTTAGAAGGGAGGATTTGTTGTTCCTTGTTGTAGTTTCAACCTTCAAATCTAAAATGACTGTCACCACTCAACTTATAGAAGTTCTAGACTAGGGAATGTCTTGCACGTAGTATTTCAAAATGTTGATAATGGTAGAAATTGTTGCTTATTATTCCCAATCATCTTGTTTTGTATCAACACTATTCAAAGAATCACAGGGCAACACGATGACTTTGTGTGGTCACCCTTTCACATGCAACAATGATATTTTTTTGGTGACATCTCTGAATGGCTTTTCAAGCCTTTTACGACGGTGTTGGGAAAGTTGCCCTGCCATTTATAAGCATGTCATTAATGGGTTTGTCCGTGGCTTTGAAAAACTTGCGAGAATCTTGTGGTTTAGGTATTAGGGAGTATTTATTTTTTCGGTTTAACCTGCTTTTCAAACTGTTTTTTACCTAATAAAGCATCAAAATGATGTTTTTTGATAATTTTTATATATTGATGTTAGAAATTAAAAAAAAAATATAATGTGTACTTTTGAAAAACATATTGCAGTGCATTACTAAACACATGATTATCAACAACGATAAAATCAAATGTTCCATGGCTATCCCTTTGCCTCTTTTGAAGAGTGAGGCACACTCTTTGCTGCTGCTGCAAGTGGGTGTTCAACAAGAAATCTTAAAATGCATCAAAAACATGTTTCAATGTCTAATTTCAATCATGATGAACGGACTCTCCTCTCTTTAAATGGATCAACAAGAATTCAGATGCAATCAGAACACGAGTGGAGTTCACCCTTCGGTAGTAAGTAGAATTGTATTTCCTATTACCTAAACTCATATCATAAATTGTTTATCCACAGTATTTATCCACACTTGTATCTTACATTGTTTGCTTGGAAATCTCAGCTCCTATACGGCAGTTTAGTTTCACTGGACTTGGTTTTTCCTCACCATTTCACTCATGTTTACTAAGTCCTTCCCTTGCCGTTTCACTTATGTTTATCTATAACTATGTGTTTTACCCGTCTAAAGAGGTTTCCACACTTTGACTTGTCATAAGCAATCAAAATTAACGCAAGAAAATAAACAGAATAATGCACAACATTTAAAAGAAAATTCCAAACATTTATTCGACACTTTAACAAAGGAATTACATAACAAACCTATGTATGCCATGCAGAAAACTTGCATGTTACATAGGCTTTGCAATCTATTTATAAACAATTATACGGAGCTAACAAGAAAAAATTGCCATTTTTCTTTTTCAGGAAGTAGTGAGGCAGTTTCTCTCTTATGACCTCTTTTCTAGCAAGTGTTAAGTAGTCACCACCATGCTCCCTATAAACTTAATGACCTGTAGAGCATTCTTAGCCATGCTCCATTTTCGACAACCCATCTCCTATGATTTGGACAATCTTCTCCCTTAACTAATCATGCTTAAAACTACTAAAAACTTCTCACAACTCTGATACCACTTTCTCCTATAAACTGCCATCCCTTCATTATTAGTATTATTGTGTTTTCCTGCCATATTGGAAAGTCCATCATCCTAGTCTTATATCTATGACAAGTTAAGAACTCATGAAAGTCCATCATCCTAGTCTTATATCTATGACAAGTTAAGAACTCATGACTTGCATGAAACGTTGCACGCTTCATGTTGAATCCATTTTTACCCGCACGGGCTGCCACTTGCTATAGCAGCTAAATTTTAGGCAGTATGTATTCATCGGCGCATTCTCACGCCTAGGTAGTCAATTTGAGCAACAACTTGTCACCCTCATTGAACTTCAATGATCTTCATGTCTAGTTTGCGTACTTCTACATCTTTTTGTTTGCGAGCTGCCTTGGGCTTACTCAAAGAACTTTTGTCTTCATAGCAAACTTGTACACAATTAGGCTTCTCCCGCCAAGCTTTTGCACAACAATCTATTTGGGAATTTGGGGCTATCCCCAACACCAGCTCAAATATGCTAGCTTCAATTTCCAAAGACTTATGGAGATTGTAATAGAGCTATGCGTTGTCTAACAACTCCAACTAGTTTTGCTGCATTATCGTCGCATAATATCAAGTATTTTTCTAGCAAAGCATTCACTCTTTTCATCTACCCATTGGTTTATGGATGATAACAATAGAAAACTTTAATATTGCCCCCATCATGTTAAACAAAGTTGTCCAAAACTTCCTCGGGAATCATGCATTGCGATCACTAACAATATCTAAAGGAACTTCAAAATATTTTACTATGATTTGGTAGAATAACCCAACAGCAACCTTAGTCGTGTATACTATGAGGGTAATAACAAACATTATAACTAGTTGAGTGTTTCTACAATAACCATAATAGTGTCCATGTCATCCAACTTTCGAAAAACTCGTAATGAAGTCTATTCAAACTGACACCTAAGTCCATTGCAAATAGTGGCTGCAACAAACTTGTTTCTTTTTGCTATAATACTTTGTCTTGTTCAAGTATAAGACAAGTCTTGACATATAACTTTACGTCTTCTTCTGTCTTTAGTCAGTAGTAAGTTTTGGACAAAAAAAACCTACACATCCTTTACCTTTTAAGATGTCCAGCTCATTACAGGTCATATGTCTCCAACATTAATTACTTTTGCAGTTTCCTACTTGGCATATAAATTCAACCTTCTTTTTTTTCATAGAGTAGATTATTTTCTGATCAGCATCTTCAGATTATCCTTTTTCATACAATATCAACCGGTTTTTTATGAGTTATATCTTCCTCGACAACTTGGCGAAGTTGATCCTGCATGTCGACTCCTTTTGCATAAGAGCATAAATAGTAGTAGAAACCTTATCTTCAATATGATTACGTCGCCTTGGCTTCTGCTCCCACACAAATTTGACTAAAAATTATTGCCACCGAGCTTGGCATTATAATAAATTATTCTGGGTTTTAAAGAAAGTGTTTGCCACATTGTCGATCTTCCTAATGAACTTTGTCCCTAACAATTATATTATCCACACCTCAAGGCAATGCACTTTTACGATCATTTTCTTTTCATGTGTTGCATATTTATGCTCGGCTTTATTTAGTTTTCAACTCATGATTGCAACCAGATATCCATCTTACACGAGCACTCTCCTGACCTTATCTAAAGCATTAATAAGCCCTTTAAATGGCCTTTCAAAGTCGAGCAGCCTCAAACCTAGAGTAGACATCACTACTAGAGTAGACATCACTGTTGTTTTTAGTTTTCAACTCATGATTGCAACCAGATGTCCATCTTACACGAGCACTCTCCTGACCTTATCTAAAGCATTAATAAAGCCCTTTAAATGGCCTTTCAAAGGTGAGCAGCCTCAAACCTAGAGTAGACATTACTATTAGAATAGACATCACTGTTGTTTTCTTTAACATATTTGGAAAAAGGGTTGTTTTCTTGTTGTAACTGTCAATCTGTAGTGGTTTACAAGTTTAAAAAAGGATCATAATTCCATAATCTTCTTCAATGCTAGCCATCAAAAAATAACTTGAACTTTTCTAGGATTCATTCTCATTTGAACCTCCTTAACCAAGTGATCTATGAACATAATTTTAGACTATACATACTTGTATTTTTTTTTTTTTACATATAATTTTTGTTCCTTTAATCTATGTAAAACTTTTGAAATATGTATTACATGACCCTTTATTCTCCTAGATTACTTTATTCTCCTAGATTACAATATCATCCAAGTAGACCACACTATAGTTGTTTAGATAATCATATAATACATCATTTATAAGGTTGTAAAAAGTTGCCGGAGAACATCATAACTAAGAATTTGTATGCCACATACCTTGTTACACAAGTAGTCTTGTGCTTATCTCCTTTAACAATCCTAACTTGTTAATATCTAGATCATGAGTTTAGCTTCATACAAACAGAAGCTTTACATAATTTATCCATCTAATCATAAATTAAAGGAATTAAATATTTATTTTTTATTATTACCTTATTAACGTGATAGTCTACACACATGCTAAGATTCCCATCTGCCTTATTTGGAATAGAGCTAAAGCATCATATAAAGCTTTAGAAGGATAAACAAACTTATTATCAATTAATTCTTTCAATTACTTCCTCAATTCTACTAATGCCATTAGTGATATTTGGTAAAGGGATTGAGATGGTGGCAACTTAATGGGCATCACATCCTCATACTACTCCAGCATATAAGTAGTGGCATCCGGCATCTCTTTATATCGATTCAATTTCTCATCCACCACTACCACAAGAAACACCTCTAATTTTTTGCAATCTTTTATTAATTGCAATGACTGAAACCAAGATTTTCTTTTCCTATTGATGTTATTTGCCATTAAAACTTCACAACATTGAACAAACACACGGACAAGCTTCATCTACGATCATAATGTCATCAAGATATAGCATTAAACCAATCTTGATCTTTTTCAAGAAGTCTATGTTAAGAATTATGTCAAAGTTATCTAGATTTACAACTAACAGATCTTTCTTCCCTTTCATTGATCTAAGACTATCAACATGTTATAAGCCATGCCAATTATTTTATGTGCTTTGAAACTTACTATCTTTATGGTAGTGTGGTAGTGTGGTTACTATTCAGCTGCAAACCTAACTTTTCCTAAAATTTGTTGGTTATAAAAGTATGAACACTCAAATCTAATATAGCATTGACTTTTTTTATTATTTATTCTAATATTTACATATATCAGAGCATTTAAAGCACCCAACTTTTCTTGTCGCAACATATCAATTTGTGTTAGGCAATGTTTGACAAGTCTGAAATCTTCAATTGAATCTTTTAACTTAGCCACCAAACAATTTAATACATGCATTAGGTTTACATATTTGACTATTTCATCCTCATCACCTTCTTTAACCGGAATGACATTGAGTTTTTTTTATCTCTTTAGATATTCCTTCACAAGCAAGCAAGAGTGGTCCATCATAAATCAAGTAAGCAAATATTGGTTCAATGTCTTTACTTTGTCCACCTGGTGGTTTAACCTTGCATTTATCCATGGTAGAGTTTGATGTAGCCTTACTAAACTTCTTCTTTTTTTCTTTGTACTTTGTCTTAGATTTGAGAAGGATACCATGTGGCCCTCTCTCATGACAGATATTAACCAGGTTAACAACAATTTTGATAGTAGAAGGCAAGTTTTTCACCATTTACCATCTCAACTCTATTTATACCTATGATTGGAGACCCAAAATAAAGTTGAACAACATGTCTATTTAGGACATTTTCATTGTCAAGAATTAAAGAATTGAACCTTTTAACATACTCCTAAACTAATTTGTCATGTTTTAGCCTTGTTTAACTCCTCCTACACAATTCATGATGTATTGTTCGACGTGAATTGTTATTTAAATTACTGCTTAACTCGATCTTATATCTTAATCTCGAGATGTTTGTCATTCAAGTCTTCTTTAATCCTTATTCTCCAACATAACTTTGCATCATTCTCGAGATATATTATAGTGATATTGACTTGCTCAACCATTCAAATCTTATTTATGCTGAAATATTATTTCATATCCCACAAAAAATTCTCAAATTCTTTGATACTTCTCACCCTATTAAAAGGTTTCAACTCACAAGGTTTAGGCTTTGAAGTACATGTTTATGACTGCCTTCTTCAAGATAGCAATTGATTTCTTAGTGATATGCAATCTTTGACTTGTCTCTTTTGCCAAACCAACATACAAAGTCCATGTTAAGAATTATGTCAAAGTCATCTAGATGTACAACTAATAGATCTTTTGTCCCTTTCCATTGATTTAAGACTATCAACATGCTATAAGTTATGCCAATTATTTTATATGCTTTGAAACTTATTGTCTTTATGGTGTGGCTACTATTCAGCTATAAACCCAACTTTACAAAAAAATTCTCATCTAAAAATGTTATAACCCTTAAATTAAGTTGGTATTAAGAGAGAAACCATCATTTTAACCTCTTATTGAATGTAGCTAGTGGAATTGGCATAATTAAGAAAGTAGTTGAGAGAGTTGATTAACAATGGATTTGTCCATGCTTTTAAAGCTTTATATGGTGCTTCAATTATATTCCAAAAGAAGACGAATAGGAGTCTTCACATGTGTGGACTATCAAGTTTTTAACAAGTTAACAATAAAAAATAAATATCTAGTTCTTTTAATTCAAGATTTGATATACAAATTATGTATAGTTTCATTCTTTATGAATCTAGACTTGTAGTATGGATATCGACATGTTAGGATTGTTAAAGAGGATGAGTATAAGACTATAAGTGTCACAAGGTATAATGTATATAAAATTTTAATTGTTTTTTTGGTTTAATGAATGCTCTAACAACTTTTTCTAACCTTATTATAAATGATATACTATGTTGCATGTGAAAACATCAATCTTTTGGTCGTATCAAGTTTTTGGTGCTGTTGTCGGGGAGGTAAGTTCTGGTACAAATTATAGTATTTATTTTATTTTATTTCACTTTTCTTATATATAACTTTGTTTTTTTTATTTTCTTCTTCCTTTTATTCTATTCTTACATGTACATGAGAGTGTGGTCACGTATATTATGTGGTAGACTTTGTAGGGTATCCTCATTATTTAAAAAAAATATGGTTGAAGAAGATAATCAATCACTTTATAATGAGAATAATGAGAATAACCGTGTTA